CTGAATGCCCAAATGAGAGTACATTAAAATGGGATGGATATGGGCCACCCATTTTGTACTTGTGTGCCACCCATATGGGCTTGCAATTTGGGAAGAGATGGAGAAATTGCTGTTATGGCAACAGATCCAGTACCTGTGTCATTCCGAAAACTGTTCAAGCAAAATAATGGACACATGCAAAGCTGGAAAATGCAACAAAACTTCTTTATCTATAAACATAAATAAAATCCAGTTCACAATATCTTTTTAAACAAAAAAAAGGAGTCACAGGCTGTATTAGCAGTCAAGAAACTGTTTTGCTCCACACGCAAATACTTTCCCTCCGTCCACTTACTTCTCTTCTTAAAAAACAAATCAATACTGCACGTGACTATGGGCCCCTTTTATGTACAAAAAAATCATACCAAAATGATCAATATAGGGGTCTTAATTTAAACATAAATGTTAACTGAACCACTATAACAAATTCTAAGAAGTACATATTCACCCTTAAGTATACAAAATAAAATCAATATCAACTTTTAGTCATTGCATACAAGTTATATAAAATGCAATTATCAGCTATGGCTCTAACAATTGTCTTAACACTCTGTGTTGTAAATTGAACACTATAAGAGTTAATAAATATTAACACTGTAAAAACAACACTCACTGCACACTGTAAAGTGGTAAAGGTAACACTGAATGGTGTGACGCATATAAACACCATGCAGTGTTAATTTGTCACTGGCACATTTGCTGTGCAGAACGTGTGCCTTATATTTAGAACGTGCCCCAGTAAAATGGGTCTGGCCACGCCGATGATCCAGCATGACTTCACATCAGACCGAAATACATAAGTGTCTGATTTTTTGCACAATTTTTCACAACATTGCAATTTGTTTTCCCCACACGCAGACTCCACCCACATCACACAACGTCCACGCCAACTGTGTGTTGATTATGTGTGGGTTTACTAATCAGTTAAATAATTACAGACAAGACTATTAAATTAATATAATTTTAAAGGAGCATAATTATTTGGACTGATTGTTTTTGTAGTGATCATGAAGTCAACTCAGAGGAAATGAATTACTGCAACAAACTGGAATTATATCACCCCAACTTAAAAATCTAAGTACACTCCAACTCCACTCTTACTACTCCAGCAATAAATTTTTTAGTTAAGTCAAATTAGTGGAAATAAGTGAATCCGACTTTTAGGCAAAATTAAGTTATATTAACTTACTTCTATTATTAAGAAGTGCTGTTAGGTTTTACAGTGTGTGTAATGTTGTGTAATGACATTGGATGCATATGATTTGCTAGCGCGTAACTTTAAAATTTTCTGTGCTGCTTCTAGTAATAATCCAGTAGTGGCTGTTAATAAAGACAACAGCTTTCATTTTGCAAGAGCTTAATTATTTATTTATTTATTTAATCAAAATGACTTGTGCACTTGCTACAATATGTTTATTTGCTCTTTGTATGTGGGTCTGCTGCATTGAAAACATTCTGCACCCTCTAAGGTGACATAGAACAAACAAGGTGTCGGCGTCTTCTTAAGTATCTGACAAGTTGTTCGCGTCGACCTGTTAGATTTAATTTTGTATGGATGTCATTTGGAGTATGCAGCCACCTTAAAAGGCACAAAATGCATTAAATGAATGAATGAATATTTGTTTCAGGCTTCACTTTTGTTGGAATTTTCCAACTTTAGAAAATGTTTAATGGAATGTAATTCTGTTTTTTAATTTTTTAGGTTTTTCATCCCTGCATTGGCTGATTCTGGCGCTGTGCATCGCTGTCACACCTGTAGTCCTACTTACTGGTGCTTTATCGGTCAGGCATTTAATAAGGGAAGGTAAGCATCTGCTCTGTCATTTCTAGTAATTTTGATGACATCAGTAGATCCCGGTTATCCTGTAGAGGGCATCTCAGCAGTCATGGGGCATCAGGCAGGACTGTATCTACACAGGGTGCCTGTCCATTGCAGGGCTTAACTGTGATGTAATTAACATACTTTGATTCTATGTCTCTGGTAACAAACACATATGTGTGAATATGAATCATTTCAGAAAGTACTATAAACCACTGCAAACTAAAACAATGAACCAAAGCTGATGTCCTCATTGAAATTATACTAAAATAAAGCAGGAGTTGCATCTGGTGAGACTGACAGTCTGTACTGGGTGTCTGTAGGTGAGCATGCAGCAGAATGACCATTTGAGAATGGCTGTAGCTCATTAAACTTTGCATAAATTGTTAGCTTATGTTAAAGAGCATGTAGTTAAATTTGGTTCTGCTTTCTCTCCATAGATAAAAGCAAACAGGCTCTGTTGAGTCACTGTTCACATGTCACAGTTCCATCAATCATGGTTTCCGCTGCAATCATCCTGTGGGGTGTAACTGAAGGTGAGCCAATTGAATATGGTTTAAAGAAGCTTTACAAAGAGACAGATTTTATTGTTTTTGTTGTTCAGGCAGTAAGAAATAAACAGCAGCAGCATAATTAGCAGTCTGCTGGGGATTAATTATGTTAATTAATTATATTAATTAATTTATATTAATTATAAATTAGAGACTGATATTTGAGGCTGATACTTTGTAATTTATACTGTGGTGATTCACTTTTAAGTTGTCTAATCTTTCTTCATAAATAAACGTATAGTTTGATATATATTTCCTAAAAGATCACTTTTATTGACAATGTGAGTCTGTTTAGGATCATGCAGATTTTATTTGCATCTACTTGAACATTTCTGGAGCTTTTCTGGATTATCTGCAAGAAAAGGGAGTAGGGCTAGGCGAAATCATATCGAGATTAAATTGCGCATGCGCAATAATCACTAGGGCTTCATTTGGCCGTACGCCAGCTTTTATGTGCTATACGGACATTTATTTACGCCCACAATTTAAGCAGCTTAGTATGGCTAAATTATTAATGAGGCTTTGTATGAGAGCATGTGAGCGGAGCGGAGCTCACGAGGCTATTGGCTCCGCCCACTTCTCTGCTCTAATTCGCACTAAGCCGTTCCGCTCAACACCGCTCCTCACTCCACTAAAATTTCCTCCCGCTCCAGTCAAATTGCTCCATGCTAGCTCCAATTTAAAAGAGGGACAAATAATCTGCATGCCTAACAAATGTCACCTTAAACCGAAGCCTTGTATCAAAAAGAAATATGAGCAACGGCAACATTGCCACTCAGAAAATATTTATTTTTAAGCAACATATAGGCAACAACGGACAGGTTTGGCAATGGCATTCCACACAGAATAGGCTTAAAAATAAAGGAATCAGTAGGCTTAATAGCCTAAAAAATACACAGGCTAAGCATCCACGTTTTAAATTCCTCAATTTTTTTCTGTTGATGCAGCACGTCTCTAAAATAAAATTTCACTGACAGCGTTACGTGAAATTTAAAAAAAAATCCTATTAGACCTACTTTGAATGACAAAACGAATTTATTTGATTACCAATATTTACTTTATAGGCTTTTATACTTTACTTTATGGACTTGATATGCTACAACCATATAAAACTTGCTCACGTTTTGCTCTGGCTTCCGCCTGTTCGCGTACACTGTCAAAAAATCTACTGTAAAATTACAGTCAAAAGTCTCCCAGGTCCTGAAGTCCAATAGTGCTGATGTATATTTGCATAGCATGACAGGGTACTGCCTTGTTTAAACTTTTAACCATGATGGTGTTGAATAAGGCAACGGTATAAACTCCCCAGCCACAGTTTGTAATCACTACTGTCACAGCCATAGATTTCCATAGGGTTTTGTTGGGTGGTAGTTATAATAATGTATTAATAAAGATTCTAATTAAGAAAAAAACCTTATCGTAATATATAAAAGCCTATAAAGTAAATATTGGTAATCAAATAAATTCGTTTTGTCATTCAAAGTAGGTTTAATAGGTTTCTTTTTTTTATTTCACGTAACACTGTCAGTGAAATTTTATTTTAGAGACGTGCTGCATCAACAGAAAAAAATTGACGAATTAAAAACGTGCTTGTATATTCTTTAGGCTATTAAGCCCACTGATTCCTTTATTTTTAAGCCTATTTTTGTGTAGAATGCCATTGCCAAACTTGTCCGTTATTGCGTATAAGTTGCTTAAAAATAATATTTTATAAATATATTCTGTTCTGACTGGCAATGTTGCCGTTGCTCATATTACTTTATGACATTCTGTAAGGCTTCGGTTTAAGGTGACATTTGTTAGGCATGCAGATTATTTGTCCCTCTTTTAAAATGGAGCGATTTGACTGGAGCGGGAGGAAATATTAGTGGAGTGAGGAGCGGTGTTGAGCCAGTGCGAATTAGAGCGGAGGAGCGGGCGGAGGCAACAGCCTAGTGACCGTGGAGCGGAAATTCTCACCGCTCCACTCCGCTCACGTCCTCTGATACAAAGCCTCATAAATTTTTTAGACATACTACTAAACTGCTGAAATTGTGGGCGTAAATAAATGCCCGTATACCACAGAAAAGCTGGCGCACGGCCAAATGTTGCGCCTGTTATCCGAAGCCCTAGTGATTATTGCGCATGCGCGATTTAATCTCGATATGATATCGCCCAGCCCTAAAAGGGAGATCATTGTGATGCAATAAAGATATATTTTACAACAGCATAGGCAGCGCCCCCTAGTGACTAATTGTAGGATTTTAGATGTTAGCAGACAGTAATGAAGTGACAGGTAACATGAAATCCAATGTAAAGTTCAGCAGAGTAGAAGGAAGGAAGTTGTGAGAAGCTAAGAAATTTAAACAGGAAAAACGGGGATCCTAGTGCTGCATTCAGAACTGGGGAAGAATTATATGGCTGCCAACATAAATACTGTAAGAGGAAAGGAGTCCTTCAGTTTTATCAAAAATTGGCTCGGTGGTTTAGGAAGTTATGCCTGCATCTGGAGGGTCGCTGGTTCCCAAATCCCAAACAGAGTGATTTCACACATGAGCCTCTCAGCAAGGACCTGAACCCCGAATTGCTTCCGGTATTTTCTGACCCTGCTTGACTCTGCTAAACAAATAAAACTTACTGTTAACTGTTTCCCAGGATCCACAGGAGAGGCTGTTACTTTTACAGCCATCAGTCTGCTGTATATCCTGCTGTTCATTTATATGGCTCCATACAGGAAATTATTTATAGGTATGTTCCATTTTTCCAGAACTTCATATTAATGGAAGTTGTCACTGTTTGGGGGGGGGGGGGGGGGGGAAACTAGTGTTTGCTAAGAAACTGTAAAATAATTGGACTGCTAGGACAGTTCGTATCAGGGTCCTAGAAGCAGCACTGAAGTCACATAAAGCAATGAAGAAGCCCTTTGCTAATGAAGAACAGAAAAGAATCAGGCTGCAAGATTCACGTGAAAATCGAATAAGGAGAATGTGTGGGTGTGATTTCGTGAAATACTTTACCATGATGAGTCAAGTGCTGGGTATGTTATATGTGACACAGTATTAGTATTCTTAATTGTTTGCATTTGGTAAGTTGCAATAACATGCAGATTTTTATTTTGAAGGGATCCAAGGTGTTCAGGCTGATGTGTAAATATGTTCACATTTTTATTTTACCAAAAAGGAAGAAATTTTACTTTATAAATAAATGATTATTTATTTAAAACCAGGCTATTTCACTGTAACATGTATCAGATCAAAGTTACATGTATCCCACTGAGAAACACTGGTAATGTGTGATCGGGTGCCGGTCTCTGAATCAGAGAAAATACTTCATTCGGGTGGGTGGCGAGTGGATGATTTATGTGTATATGCAGATTCAGATGGAGTCAGAGCTGATATGTGCATCACTAATGGTGACACAGCTGATCAGGGAGGCTGGGAGAACAAAGGCAATCTGTCAGTCCTGTGGCTCGACCTGGAAAATGCTTATGGCTCAATTCCACACAAGCTGGTGCAGCTGCCTTGGATGGAACATCATGTCCCCAGTAGTCAGAGATCTCATTGCGGATTACTGCAGCAGTGTCAGGGTGAGAGCCTCCTCAGGAGCTGTTATATCAGGCTGGAATAAGGCTGAGATCAGGATCATCACAGGCTGTATTATCTCTGTGATCCTCTTCTCTGTTGCCATGAACATGCTCACAAAATCTGCTGAACCAGAGTACAGAGGGTCTAAAACAGAAACTGCCCACCGCCAGCCACCCATCAGAGGACTTATGGATGACATAACAGTCACCACAGAGTCAGGCCCAGGACGTCGCTGGATCCTTCAGGGGCCTGAAAAGCTGATGGGGTGGGTGCAGATGGAGTTCAATCCACCAAATTTAGGTCCAAAGTGCTGAGGAGAAGGAAGGTGAATGATGGTTCAGTATCGTAGGTACTACCATCCCAACCATCACAGAGAAGCCTGTTAGGAGATGAAACGTTTGGCAGCATCTTGAAGGACACAACAGTCATCAAGTTGGCCTGCACTGAGTTGGATGGCTGGCTGAGATCAGTGGACCGGACTGACCTACTGGGGTAATTTAAAGCATGGCTGTACCAGCATGCCTTTCTTCCAAGAGTCCTGTGGCCACTCCTGGTTTACCAAGTGCAAATCTCGACAATAGAAACCTTGGAGAGGAAAGTCAGCAGCCACCTCCGAAGATGGCTAGACCTTCAAAGGAGCCTGAGCAGCATGGCTCTCTATGGTCATCAAAACAAACTGTCACTCCTTGGAGGAGAAGTTCAAGGTCACAGAGCCAGGGAAGTGTTGCAGTACAGAGGGTCAAGCGATCTGAAGGTGGCCAGAGCTGCCATAATGGTGAGGACTGGCAGGAAGTGGAGGGCGGAGAAAGCTGCTTTGCAAGCTGAGTTTAAGGCTGCATCACAAGATAATGGTAGGAGTGGTGATTCAAGGCCGAGCTGGACTAGGATCCTTCTCCAAATCCCACCTTAATCAGCCAAGGGAAGGAAGAAAACAGCAGTGGAAGAGGAGAGATAATGCTGGATGGTGGGTATGAAGGGGCCTAGTTAAGATGGGAATCCCTGTAGTAAAGAGGAAGGTGACCTGGGCTGAGCTGTGGAAAGCTGAGCCACACAGCATCAAATTCCTCATTCAGGTTGCTTATGATGCTCCCCAGCCAATCCAATAGAAGGGGGGAGGCAAGGTAGAGACACCAGCCTGTCCTCTATGTTCCATGTATGGATCCCTGGAGCTCATCCTAAGATGCTGCCCAAAGACACTGAGTGAGGGGCGGTGCTGTTGGAGGCATGACCAGGTCCTGAAGGTCACTGCTAAAGCCTTCAGCTCAGGAGTGGAATGGGCTAAATGTTCCTGCCCCTCCAGGCTGGTGATCACCTTCATCAGAGCTGGGGAGCAACCAAGATCTGCTGCAAGAACCTCAGCAGGTGTCCTGGACCAAGGTGCATGGAAAACAAGGTGTCTCCCTGTGGAGATCGGCTGCAGGGGCTTTGCAGCCCGGTTTTCGACTAAAGCCTTCAGTTGATTGGGCATTAAAGGACAGAGGAAGAGAAGAGCTGCAGCACCATCAAAGTGACAGAGAAAGATGGCTGTGGCTGAAGTGAGGGGAGTCATGGGGACAGAGGAGCCAGTAAGCCACCTGGACACAAGCTGGGGTCTGATCAGCACCAGCTGGGTCGCCTGGAGGACGGTGTATGATGCTGAAAGACCTGAAACACCCTGTGATTCCAAGAACATCACTGAGGATGTGAGCAGGAGCATCACTAGATGTATTTGCACAGCAACAGAAGAATTTAGGAATTAATATTTTTCAATTAGTCCAAATTTCTGTAGTTTACGAAATATGCATTAAAACTTTATACTACGTTGTAATAAATCCATCAGTACATTTTCCCTGAGGTGTTTCCATATGATTGTTGGTTTTCCTGCAACCCGATTACTGCTGGTATCAGGGTTGTAACAGTGCACTGTCCAGCTCTTATACTGTAATGTGGGTCACAGAGGTTATTACTTTGAATAAGGATCTTCTGGTACTAATGTGTGTGAAATGATTATCATGATCAGATATGATGAATTTTTATTTGTTCTTATTTATTGAATGGTCATTAATGATCTAACATTGTTAAATATTTTTCCTATAATCGGGGTAACTGGTGTGATATGTGATGGGCTGAATGCAACATATATTGAATTATCCCATTTTTTTATTTTAAAATTGTTTTAAAATTAAGTGTTATTTTCATTTTGCAGTTAAATGGCAGAATAGTATGATCCTCATTCTGAGAACTGCATTTCCCATCATTCTGTTGGGTATTCTGACAGGTAAGTGTAATAATGGACATTAAACGTCAAACACACTAAAGCAGCAGCTCCTGCTAAAATATTAAACCAAACATACTTCAGTGTTTTAGCACATACTGCTCATTTTTCATCTCATTACTCTACAGACTTTAGGTGATTTTGTTGCTCTCAGCACCTCAAGTTTTAAAGCCTGTACCTTTAAATCAGAGCTCGATACCCACCTGAATCCCCAGCTTACTCCCCCATGCAGTAACCCAGTTAAGAGGGGCGGTCCTTAGCAGGGTGGGCAAGACAAGGACCTGTAACCTGAAGTTTTCCAGCCCAAGTCCTGGGAGAAGCTTGGCCTGTTTACCTTTAGACAGCTGCTTAACCTGAACTGCTCCAGTGCCCAGCTGACTGAAAGGGGACAGTTTTAAATGGCTAAAGAAATAATAATATTGGGCAGTGTGAAAAAATGCTAATTACAATTTTTGATATTTTTCTAACACATATTGCAGTATTTTTTAAACAAAGAAGAAGATGAAAATACATCTTATTATCTACCGATAGTATTTTAATTGCAATGATAGTTTGTTTCTTCATTCACTGAGCTGGATGTGTGAAAGAGGAATGACAGTTGTGTGTGTTTCATATGGAATGATTCGATCCGCACTCGGGTATGACTGTAGTGCTGAGGTTCATTCTCCGTGGGGCCTCAGTAATTAGGTGTTTGGTGCGGATGGATATCCTAATCCTACCCTCCTCATACACTAACGTATGACATGTATGGTGCGGATGGATATCCTAATCCTACCCTCCTCATACACTAACGTATAGCATGTATGG